GATCTACTCCTACTTCGCACAAAATTTCTCTGGAAATTAAAAAGTGACAATTTCTAAATTGGAGTATCTACCAGAAAACACACGGGGAATGCTGGGGGACCCACTGACGAGCCGAACCCCTCGCAGCTGCGCCATGCAGCGGCAAAACATCGGCGAAACACGCGTGTATGGGCTTTTGGCTAGTACCTGTGCTGTTAGTATGGTGTCACCTTACCCTAGATTATACTACTAGCTGCCTGTAGGCAGTTAATGAATATTACGCGGTTACCCGCTGTGGCTGATGGACTTTGGCCCAAATATTCATGTATAAAATTCTCGGTCTGTGCCTATAGACCTTGAATATACTGATCTACTCCTACTTCGCACAAAATTTCTCCGGAAATTAAAAAGTGACAATTTCTAAATTGGAGTATCTACCAGAAAACACACGGGGAATGCTGGGGGACCCACTGACGAGCCGAACCCCTCGCAGCTGCGCCATGCAGCGGCAAAACATCGGCGAAACACGCGTGTATGGGCTTTTGGCTAGTACCTGTGCTGTTAGTATGGTGTCACCTTACCCTAGATTATACTACTAGCTGCCTGTAGGCAGTTAATGAATATTACGCGGTTACCCGCTGTGGCTGATGGACTTTGGCCCAAATATTCATGTATAAAATTCTCGGTCTGTGCCTATAGACCTTGAATATACTGATCTACTCCTACTTCGCACAAAATTTCTCCGGAAATTAAAAAGTGACAATTTCTAAATTGGAGTATCTACCAGAAAACACACGGGGAATGCTGGGGGACCCACTGACGAGCCGAACCCCTCGCAGCTGCGCCATGCAGCGGCAAAACATCGGCGAAACACGCGTGTATGGGCTTTTGGCTAGTACTTGTGCTGTTAGTATGGTGTCACCTTACCCTTGATTATACTACTAGCTGCCTGTAGGCAGTTAATGAATATTACGCGGTTACCCGCTGTGGCTGATGGACTTTGGCCCAAATATTCATGTATAAATTTCTCGGTCTGTGCCTATAGACCTTGAATATACTGATCTACTCCTACTTCGCACAAAATTTCTCAGGAAATTAAAAAGTGACAACCCAGATTATTTCAGTCACAAGTGAGAAAGACATCCCGTCTGTCTGCAAAAATCTCATACGTTTACTGAAAAACTGACGAAATGTCTGTACAGGAACAAAGATTTTTAGACCGATTAACAGACGTTTACTGCTCATCAGCCTATCAGTCTTCATGGTGGTGGACAGAGCGAGAGCTAGGAAATTAGCGCCTAGAGCAGTCAGTCATGAGTATTGCTCAGGTAAGTGAGTAGAGCTAAAAGCTCAAACTGTCAGCCCCGGCATGCGATTTACAAATCGGAAATAACAAATATTCGGCGATATCGGACTTTTTAGGCTTGTGGTTATTGGTAATTCGGTCACCTAGTGCCAAAATGTCTGTATGTCATTGCAGTTATTAAAAAACGCATTTGCATGTTGCATAAGCACGATACGATACTCGGCCACAATGTTGATGAGAATTATTCGGGGGACGAAGCTCATATGCCCACTTTCCTGGGACGGTTGGCGAGAAAACATGGCCACAGATTAAACTTATACATGCTTCTCTGCTTCGAAATGGGAATTTCTACAAATCAACACCCTTCTATTGGCTAAGGGACAAGGTAGAAGAATTACTAGCAATTTTGCGATTACAGACTACCTTTAAAGCACCAAGGCATCTTCCTTAGGTAATTCGTGAGTCTAGCAAAGGGTTTCAAATCTGTAAGGTTCTAGGAGAAGGTGGGATTTAACCCCGACTGTGCTGATGGAGAAAATTGTGACTGACTCAACAGTCGCTCTCCATTTCGAACCTCATCAGGATTCGTACTGAAGCGTTCGGCTGCTTCAAAACAAAGCCAACGCTGCGTTTTGTGCACGAAACCTCACAAAAAAGTAGTCATTTGAACCGGAGGCTGAGGAGTTTTTCAAGACAACTTACTGAAACAATTTTAGACAGTGCGAATCCTCCTCCCATGAGAATAAGGACACCCCAACTGGTGCGACTCTTGGCCTCATTCCAGGTTAAGATGCTGCGGTTTATTCGTTTGCGGGCCTTCTTATCTGTAAAAAATGTCAAAATAGTATTAGGGAGTTCTATCGTTTTTTTTCAATGTCTTCTGGACCATATCGATTGAGTAGGGGTAGGAAGCATGACTTGGTTGATGTTTATGGTTTAGCAATCAATCTCGTCGTCTGATAGCTAAACAAATGCCGGGGTGAAAATACCAAGCTAGGAAAGCAACTACCTTCCTCAATACAGACGGGTTTGGATGTCTACGTGTGAGTAGAAACACGCTGTTCCGCATCCCACCAGCCCAAAGAAGGGACATTAGCTTACTCCAGAGAGTTCATAGGAACCAAGAAGTGTCCACAAGTATACTTAATGAGGGACGGAATATTTTACAGAAACCTGGGCCACGCTGCAGAGTTGAATATGTAGCTTTGTAAGATTCGAAGCACAAGCGGAGGATGATCCACTCGGATGATCCCACCTCTAACAAGGAGAAGTTAAACGATGTCTGTCAACTCCAACGCAACCCTAAGAGGTTGGACGCCGCAGACAGCACATATTCTGGGCTTTGGCCCCGCTAAAGTTGCCACTCGAGAGGACGATCACATGTAAAAATGCGGTGACACAAGCTAGGATTGCTCAATCAAGTAAAAAGGACTGGCGGAAGAAGAACCACTTAACTCCAGCAGCAACTATACTTATTCGTACTGACTCAACTGTGAAAAACGCGGCGTCTCGGTGGGATTCGAACCCACGAGAGCTTTAGTCCTGTGAACGCTCTAACCACCTGAGCTACGAGGCCCCACCGGAGAATGCGAGTTTAATCACATTTGGGTCAAGTTAACCGCCCAAGTTTGACAATGTCTCAAAACTACTGTTGGGACGCCGCATTTGTGACTGTCAGTTTTATACATCTGGCAAATCCTAATTAGTCCTCCTTAACTGTGGCGGGTCTGCGGTAGAGGAAATTCTAAAGCACAGTAATTTGGCGCCCCTTCTGTGCGCAGATATATTAGTTTCGATTTTGAGGTGTTCACTGGCGTACCCTCAACGCCACCTGGAAAAGTACTGAGGGGGCACGCAACTACCTCCATGTCCAGCATCGAACGCAACCCTGTATCCTATTTGCAGTACTACATGTACGGCCGTCTACTTTCATGGTCGTAGGAGATCCTGATTACACGAATTGACGTAGCCCGGCACACGCGTCCTATTGGTTAAAGGAAGTCCTGCCCAATGCACTACTCAGTCCCCCAACATGGAGGCAGAGTGATGTCTACCGATGATGCGACTTCTGTAGGCTGGTTAGACTTGGCGCGCATGACTCAGACGCTCGCTCATACCTTGAGAGACCTCTCACAGCAGCGATAAGTGGCTACCCCCCAAAAATCTGTCCACCTGAGTGTGGGTTTGGAAAACGCATTAGTGTCGACAACCGTGGTCAAAATCTGGATGATACTATAAGGCAAAACAAAGGCTACAAAGAGAGAACCGAGCTCAGCCAGTCAGAGGTCTGCTAAGAAACTGACTGAATTGGCATACCTTCCGACCAAGAATTCGGTCACCGCCACTTAGCAACAAAGCCGGGCCAAATGGAGGCTAGTATAAATGGCTCATACCAGACTCTCCCATTGCTTCATGCATTATCTTGGATTGCGCGCAACATAACAGAGATCGGTCTCTACTCTGTCATTTCGAACCCCGCGGTGAGCACCGCAGGATACATCTAGCCACATTTTCATTTACATTCTCACATCAGAAGTCCAAAAATTCTAAATCACTCGGGGATAGAGTTCTGTGTTAGGTCTGGGTGCTGTTGGTGTTAGTCTTCAAAAAAGACTTAGAATGGAAATTTTCCAGAGCCAATGGGACATTTTATTACAATTTCCAGCCTTAAGGAGAAGACCATTAAAAGCCTTCACTTGCCTGTTTCATCTGGATCAGCACGAAGACGGAAGGGGTTTGAGGCGGGGACAATGCAAGCCAAGATGGCAAAGAGGATGGTTGGTTGAGTGTCGTCCACGTATCTTCAAGGAAACAACAACATTTATTTAAATGTGTAACTTTTCCCCGGCTAAATCGAACATTTGATGTCACAGCAACGGGTGGTCTCCCACTCTGACTAAACCATAGGAATGATCCTGGGTGGCGTATTGAGTTTGGGATCTCAGCTTAGAATGCACGCTGGCGGTCGCTTAACGAGAAAGTTTTCCTTCAGCCAGCGTGTTGTTCGACCATGGAACTCACTCCCAAGTGAAATTGTGACATCTGATACAATGGCTGTATTCAAAGGCAGCTGGATCGTTTGATCTTTGATAAACGACGACTCTCACTACAGGACTATCTGCGGCCAGCCATAAATTTCATTTCATGATTTCATCTCTGCTTAACACATCCCTGACCTTTAATGAGTTTTTTTCTCTCAAACTATGCAAATGACTGCACTTTATGCCGATTGTATATAACTGCACTTAAAATTTCCTATGTACACTGAAAAGACTGCTTACCGCACCCTTCGCAGTCCCCCACTGTGAAAACGTTTTCCGTGAACAAATATGTTACTGACAATATTTTAGTAAAATGTGTATTTAACATTTATATTTTATGTACTGTTTTCAATAGGGTCATCATGGGAATTGCCTATTACCCTAAAATACACTACACTACACATAATCAGTAGTAAAAAAGAGGCCTAATGATGGTTTAGTGTTTACTTTCCGCCACCGACCAACTGTATCCCAAACCTTGACCCCAGATTTGAATCCGCTTCAGTTGCTCGGACAGAACGGTGGCCTGACAGGCGAGCGGCGACTACGATCAGGAATAATGACAACTTCGGGTGGGTTGCATTCGCCGTACTGGTCTGTTATTAGGACAGGCCAGGAACCTTCCGATTGAACAGTCTGGGCGTGGGGGTATTGATAACTGTCACTTATAGATAAGACTGAAATTTTCCACTAACGTACGTGTGCGTAAAGCAGACTTGGAAGCAGACCGCATATGAGGGATGAACCGAACTTACGCAAATAACGAGAACATGTGGTAAATCCCAGTTCTTTAAACCCCACGCCAATTTTTGCCCTACTGTTTTTTTTTCTTTATGCAATCGTGTATTGAGATGCCTCCTCATCATTGCTTAGCCTCTGTCCACTGAACGAGGGCCTTGTAATTTCCCCACTGGATTCGAGAGAACATTTAAGCTGCTGTGCAGTGACCAGCCTCTATTCATATTATGGAGTAACATGCCACAGTTTATGAGGGAACACAAAACATATAGATACGAAGATTTCTGTCGCATATGCTTTTTTAAATATACAACTGGAATAAAAATGCCCTGGGGCTCTTGTATTCGTCTGTGCTGTCGTCTGATTGAGCGGGGGTAAAATGAGCGTACCTCACGACTTTGCCATTTGAATCGTTGCTAACTGGCATGAAACGCGACCATCCGGGCACACCGGGTTCCCGTGTAATCCACAAGCCAATCAGCAATAGGAATAAGACCGTGCAGGCTATTTCACCAAACCTAGAACAGAAATGACCACCGTAAGTTAATTGGGTAGCAGGATAGGGACAATGAATGAATGTAACACGGGCTGAAGGCGGATGCGGAACATCAAGCAACACATAAAAACTACTTTAACATGATGCTGGCCACCTCAGCTTCAGTCAATCTTTCACCCTGAGTACTTACTTCATGGGACCTAGGACTCGCCGTTCTTCTTCAGAAATCTTTTTAACGATAGCAACAATATCGAACGAGATTTCTTCATTGTCTTCCTGGTCGACGGCGCGTTCTAGTTCTTCCAGCTTGTCCTTGCTTTTTGCCGAGGTTGGATCTTTATAGAATTCCTCCTGGAACTCATCTGAAGGATTGCTCTTTTTAGCTCGACCGCATTTGAAGAAGGCCCTTAATGACACAGAAGTAGGTTTGATATTGAAACTCTAAAAATGCAAGTTGATCTTGAATACTTCAGTGGACTTAGTCCACTCTGTAGACTTACTTGGGTCCGAGGAACAGTAGGCATATGATAATCCAAGCAGAAATTAGGCAGAGCAGAGACATGGGGAATCCGTAAGCCATCCAAGATCCAAAGTTTAGCGGAATTTCACTTCCAAATCGGCTGAAATCAGGAAAGGAATGACGTCATCTCGTCGAGCAACATCATATCATCATTTATACCTGGCGCTATAAAGTATCGACCCTAGTGTACCCCAGTCAAATTACTAGCAGCACTCAACTCGGGTTAAAAGCGGAGACCCCCGACGCACCAAAGTCTTCTTACCTGACTGCAAGACCGTAAAAGATGATATTCGGTGGTGAACCTATCAAGGTAGCGATTCCACCGCAACTGGCGGCGTAACAGACGGACAAGCTGATTCCTGTGGCAAAGCGTCGCAGTCGCTTCCGGCCTTTGCTCTCATCGCTAAAATCGGAATGTAGCCATTTTAATCTTACCACGCGATTTCAGATTATTTCAAAATTTAGGGGTAATTTGAAGCATACCCAGTTGCCTCGTTTGGGTCTGTTCCTTCTGGTGGAACTGTAGGGGGAACAAAAACTTACAGGTCTGGGTTTATTCTCCAATAAGGAACAAAGTTAGCTTGTTTTACAGCGACTGTTTTCAGCATTTAACAATGCTACTAACCTGCAGTGACCTCGTCCAGTTTTGTCAGTAGCGCCTCCACAATGGCAACCATCATCACAGTTGTAGCCGTATTGCTCATCCACATTGAGAGGAACCAGGTTGGAAGCATAACACTCAGTATCAACCTAGAAGTAGGAAAGCAGTGGGTACCTCATCAATGGTACATCGGGAGTCATTTGGACGAGCGCAGTTTGGCAGCAAATATGACATAACCCCGCCTTAATATTGCAATTGCTAAAGACCGTTCAGCCTCGAAAGTGGGCTGAAAACTGCTTAACTAATTGCAACAGAGCGCGTATAGCCTGTCCTAAAATGGTCTTTTTTCAAAAAGCGAGGCTTCAGTTATTTTCTCCGCTGTTGTCCACCGAATGACTAGGCTATTTCGTTTGAGTCGCCGGCTCTCCACTTTATACGCCAGTATGGTATTTGTGTAAAAGCGACATATAGCTGCAAGGTCCACTAAAATTAAGCAACCTCGAAATCGATCATGCAAAGATGCGCAGGATCTAATTGTTTACTCAGACGTTTTTCGAATCATCCAGAACAGCCTCCGTCGCGTAAGTATTTAACTTGGGACAGTGGGTGCCATAGGTGACCCTTAGGTGGCTGCCAACAAATATACCAGCCGGTAAATTGGTCAACGATGTCTCTACCCGGAACTATGAAGGCAAATCTGCCCAATGCTGGTCACTTGACAAAGATTGGGCAGAAAATTAAGGTTAAATTTTAAATTCTAATTTGTGATACCGTGACATTGAGGCAAATTTTTACTCTGGAGTCCGTGATCGTATTTTGCACATTTGCTGACCGATAATGCAGATCTTTACTCGGTAAAATGCTAGTACCATGTTCAAGTGTTTGCTGTAGACCAGTGGGTGTGGCAGCACGCCTAGGCGCGGGCCCGGCCGCACCAGCAACCTGCGCACTCTCCCGAGTCGGTCTTCTGGACAGTGCTTTGACACCGGTCTCAGGTGTAGGAGGAGAAGGTGCGACAGGTACAACGCAAGTCCGCTATCATGTGTATGTCACCGTGCCTGCTCTCACCTTGCTGTGAAGCCCGCAGTGGACACCGCTGACAAAGACGCTACAACTGTCAAATGCCAAGTAAACGGGTTCTTCCACTTAATTCTCTCCTATTCGCTCATAGTGCAGGGCTTATTTTAGCGTAGGTTATTTGCGACTAAACCGACTTGCATACTGTTTGTTCGCTCATGGATCAACCACTTTCCTCGTCAATATGTGGAGCAGTGGGATTAAGCGGTATATGTTGCCTGCTGACAGTTTGTGTGCGTTCACGCATGTCCTTAGGAGTCTGAAAACACAAGGGTCCTGCAACCTGGATTTTATGACCAGGATAGATGTACGTGTGAGCCACCACCTTTGCGATTATGCATAGAAGTACATCGATATTTGACAATGCTACTCAGATGAATGTTCGTGTACAGTTATTTCTAACGAGCTGACACGTAGGGTTTTCAAAGGCTTTGCCTATTATCCTTACCAAATAAACTAAACTGACCCTTTTCTCATGTTCTCTAGTCATAGGCGACAGCATTTGTGCTACAAATTTGTCCCTTTTAGAAGTTTGTGTGCCGTCTACCGGCATGCACATATTTATAATAGCATTCGGCACCTATAGCAAGTATGACTGGAATTTTTTTGTTGGCATCCCACAGCTACCGTTAACGTCACCCCAGGACTAATCATCATTCTTGGATCGGCCTGGCAGGAAAATCAATTCCTCCCCGAAACCTTTCGTTTACTCTTTTATCGTCTGTGTCCGTCAGAAGAAAGTTTGTTCTCATATATAACTTCCTGACGAACACAGTGCCGGCGATATCATGACAAACTGAGAGGACGTTGCCAAGACAAGAGTAACGTCAACAATCCATGGCTGTGCTATTCGATGGCATTCGATCATAACGAACAACGACTGCATCCTATAGATGCTGCATTTTCATGTGCATGAACCACCCGTATCTGCTATTGTCCCTGATGATGGGTTCGAGTAGGAATCCGAAACGTCAGGCGAATAAGGCAATTGATCAAGCTATCGTGTTTTCTTCTTAGAAGCATCAAACATTTAAGTCAATAGGAGCGGAGAAGTGGATTCCAGGAGGCAGCCGCAAAGAAGGAGACATGATCACTTGATCAACAGCTCAATTCGCCTGAAATTTCGTATTTCTGCTCGAATCCATCACCGGAGACAATAACAGATACGGGTGCTTTATGCACAAGGGGCTGCAGTATTTATATGATGCAGTCTTCATGCTACCGCATACCTATGGAAATTGCCGGCTAACCCCCTCATCAAGGATTATTTCACTTAATGAAATTGCCGTCTCGAATGTCGGCCGCTGAACAGAAATCCCACCAAATGCAACGACCCCTAATGAAGGGGGAGAGGGTTAGCCGTGAATTTTTTTAGGTGTGCGGTAGCAGCCCCATGTAAATAAACCACGCGTGTCGGATGTTGTCTCAGATGATGGTTTTAAGAAGGACTCCAATAAGTCGAGCAAATAAAGTTTTTGTTCCAGCGATCGTGCCCACTTCTTCAAAAAGACAGTCAGTGATGTAATGTCCTTCAAAACGTATGGTCTGTTAGCGCAATCAATCAAAATACGGCCCGGTTCCACAACGTTACCCAGATTTAAACGGACAATGTTACCTTCACCGACGAATCCACATTAATGCAAATGATACACAAGTGTGCTTAACGCTTGGTTCTAGCAGCATCTCAAACTCATGAGCTTACAATCTCGGATCATCACCCATCCAGCGCACGAAAGCGACGGCGATTCGTCGATGCAAGTTCATGTTCTCCGCCGCGATAGCCAGGAGCATACCGCCCAGGAACAAGAAAGTGGAGCTCTGTTTTGTTTGCATTGACAAAACGACATGTGTTTGTGAAGAAGTTGCATGAAGAAGAGGACATAGCAAGAAGTCAGATGCAGCAACGACTTCTGAGAATAATTTTGGCATCTTTTGGATTATTAACGGATCATTTTGGCGCTTACTTACCGACGAATATTCCTTGGCTATGACGGCGCTGGGAATCAGTCCCATCAGTGGCCCAAGGACGAGGGGAAGGAGCGCGGTCACGTAGAGGGGTATGAGACCGCTCACCCAGAAACCGCACATTAAGAGCAGAATATACGCTGCCTTCGACTCCTATATGGAAGTTACAAAGATAAAATAGGCAATACACAGAGTGCTGAGGTGCTCTCTCAAAAGACAAACGTCAAACCGCAATTGCAGTGGCAAACTGCATAAATCCCACTATAAGAGCACCTTTATTCGCTAGTCTTTCGGAAATGGAACACACAGGGTGACATTTTTGTGTCGTAATTTACTAAGTCAATTTTGGCTCTTCATTCATAAGAGCGGTTCCCAAGCTAGTTAAAACCTGAATTAAAAACTTTCGAAGGATGAACTGAGCGCTTTTCAGGGTAATTCGTGTTCAAGGCCAAAAAAATCGGTCACTGTCCCGTTCCAGCTGAAAACCATCCATCCAGTGGGAATATCAAATTGGTGCAAACTTGGCCGCAAAGTAGTTTCACGGCCAACAGACGTATGGCCTTCAAGACAAAACGCCACACAAAATGTTCTACTTTTTGATATTAAGTACGCAGGTCAAATAAGTTACACTGACGGTCGTGTGGAAGTGGAGTAGATTGATCTGCCGGATGGAACTCGGGGGATTCCGTTTCGTCCGGTTGGCATGTGCTAGAACTGTCATGGACAGTAAACTAACTCAAGATATTGGCGCTCGCTGAATGTTGTTGTGGTATCGTTGGTCGGAACTTACTCTTTCAGCTTCCTCAAATTCGTTATCAACACTGCTCGATTAAAAGTTGCTCGCTACAGTAAGGCTATCTGTATGTGCTTTAAAGCGGATATTCAGCGCAAAGACAGCCGTTCCTGCTCCTTTCTGCAAGTAATATGGATGGATGAACGCAGGCTGTGCGGTTCTGATATTGGTCGAGAGTGTATTCCTGGTAGAGCGTTTAATTTAATCGTGACTCACAGCACGTTTGAGTTTAAGCCCCATGTCTTCGATCTGTGCATGGAGTCTTGATGTGTGGTGAAGAGGAAAATGCCCACATTGATGTTTCTATAAACCTTGCTTTGTCCGGATTGCTTTTTAAAACTATATGTCCTCGAAAAACCACGTTTATAAAGCCTAATCAGTAAAGAATGATGCATGTACATAGCAAAATACAGACTTTGAAAATGAACCGTGAGGAACTTCTTCAGTCGGAGCGCTACTTAGTAGTCGGATATCTAAATAATCTCGATAAAGCAATTATTATCAAACCGCACAGAAATGTTTCAACTACTATCATAAATGGGTTTATATTCCTTGTTATTTACGATTTATTATGAGGTCGTTGCCCTAATGAAGGGTTATGAGAAGTTCGCACATAAGATACCTTCCGATTGGTTAGCGTCTATAGCTGGCTTTGCGGTATTTGAGACGGTTTTTTAACAAAATTATTCACCCATACACTAAATTTCCTCTTCAAAATATAAAGATTGCAGGATAATAATTATTTATGAACAGTATTTTGGGCGCTTATGTCCGCTCTTTTCAACGTGATCCTCGTCCTTAATCAGAGTTAGTTTAAGGTACCATTTGCACAAATGTTGCCAGTTGCCTGATGAATATACCAGGTAACCTGGCATGTTCGACGTATTTTTAAAAATAATCGGCGGATAGTCACATCGTCAGACTGCTTAATAGTGCCGTTGGAGTCACTGGGCTTCGGAAGATTTACTTGCAATATAGTATGCGGAATTCCAATAGGCCTTTTAGAGCCATTTAGCACCCCTAATCTATTATAAAGTCTCTAATCTCAGAATCTTTTCCCATGACTTTTGAAAATTTGGTTGATTTTCTGCTTGGTTATTGTCAAGAACTTTATTAGTAACGTCGTGTGATTAACTACACATCATTTTCTGAATAAATATCAGTAATTATTCTGCCTGCACAATCTGCCACAACTGCAAATTAATGAGAAAAAGCCAAGGAACCGAGCCTAGACGAGTAAACATCATTTCGTAATAAGCCGAAAAACGGGTTTACTTAAATTTGCATGTTTGGCAGGACCATACTGAGACATGTCTAGTGAATTGGGAAAGCTGAAAAATGTAAACTATTTGTCAGTAACTCACCGTTCCAGGATGTAAGATGAGGATTGGCGACAGGATAATGGGATAAATAATTATAAATATATAGCGCAGATAGATGTGAAGGATGGTGAGCCACCGAGGAATCTCAAGGTGAGCCATTTTCTAAACTGAAATAAAACCAAAATTTAGTCCTCCTGCGTCTGCTCATGAAAAAGGGTGAATCAGCCCTATGCACTTCGAGTTTAATTATTTTTATAATGTTATTTTTTATTTTAGACTTCTCTGGGAATTTGAGCGCCATTTAAACCATTTGCAGAGTGAGCAGTAATATGGAAAACATTTTAATAAATTGAGAAAATAAGGCTTGACGGAACCTACTGTATCTGAAATGCGTGTTAAGTTACTATGCCTTTGATAGTGGCAACAGAATCGTAATTTCGTGTTTTTGTAGTTATAATAACACCAAAGTCAGTGGCTGGTAGTACGGCACTGGTGTTCGGAGTAGATAAGTAATGGTAGTAACAGCAACGATATAAATGGGAGTAAGCTCTATCTTAGTATTATTAGTACAGTTAGGTGACACAGCAAGTGACGAAGAGTTTGGTCCTTTCTTTGAATTCTCGATTATTGGCCAGCAGAGGAGTTTCGTTTGAGTGGAACTGCATAGGGATCTGTAGAACAGGAGTTCCCCAATAAATCGTCAAAAATCCAGACATACCTGAATATGAATGGATGGCGAACCTTCTACTTAGGAAAATAATGTAACTTCACTTTACATTTTTATCTATCTTTCGCTCGAATTTAGATATCCTTTAAGCACCACAGTTTGGTGGAATAAAAAACTTTAATGAATCACAGGCATCCTAGAAGTCTCAGAGGCATAAGTAAACTTCTGACTTCTAAATTGTAAACTTTGCTAATCAAAAAGGGTCAGCAGTTGTTGGATCAGCTTAAGTCACGTTATGCAGAAGCCTAGTAAAAACTCGAAGTCCGTAATATTAACAAAAATGCGCAGTAGAATTAGTATCATGTCGGAAGACGCAAATCTCAGTCAAATCACAAGGCGAGAAGTAGTAGCATACTTCAACGACTTAACTTCCAGAAGTTTAGTAAACAATTCCAGAAACAATTGGTGGCATTGTTTCATTATTTATAAGGAGATTAGGTGCAAGTACGCATAAATTAAATCCATGGTGGTTCGTCAGATATAAAGCCACGTAATGCTCACTGCTTTATTACGTTGGGACTAGTAATTATGAAAATCTGCGGACTTTCGTTTATTAAGTACAGTAGCCAAACTCTCAACTGTGTGATCTTCCAGAGAAACCTTCACGTTTATTTATACATTGACAGGAGGAAACAAATAAGAGGGCTACGATTACAATGTCCACTTAGAATCATTGTCATTCAACGACTCATAGCTACTTTACATGATCTGTGTGCTTCCTAAATCCTATAACAAGCAGGTCAATCGTACCCTTCTGAATTCAACACGTGACGTTCCATTTTTTAATTGGACAATGCTCACTGAGATGCTAGAGGCCGGCTCTGACAGAACGCAATTCACATCCAACCAATCCCAAACTGTATAAAAGAAGACGACCTATATATATATATATATATTGGACTCATTTTGATTGTACCACAGATAAACATAGGTGACTATTCGACTGAGTGTTTTTCGTCATTCAAAAGCTGACGATCTTGTAAAGACGGCTCTATCCAAGTGACGAAAACGGAAAAAATGCGTACTGGCACCGGTAGGCGCTTAGTGCTTTAGACTTCTTTGTGCAACACCCAGGAAGAGGGAACAGCGTTTAGTGTGCATTAGAATGTGAACAGATGTATCCTGTCGTGATAAAAAATAACGTTTAAATCTCGTGAAATTGTTCTCAGGCGTGGAAGAACTTATGAAACGTGCTGAGGCGGAGAGGTAATTGACAGTGAGTCGCCAGTGTAAGAAGTGGTTGAGTGTTAACTAGAGGGATAAGAACTAGCAAGGCAAAACCTGGTTTACAGCACCAAGCGGTTGTGTGCAGAAGTCGGACTCGGGCTACTGTATGCAAGATGTCCCCAGGTTCCAGCAGTACGCCAGCTGTTTTCACATGACAAAGCATTCAGGATGCTAGTTTTAAGCACGGGGAACTCGCGTCATATAGCAGGCGCAAAGCGTGCAGTAATCGGAGGAGGAGAGAGAGTTGCGTTCAGCTTCAAAGGTCATTTAGGCATGTAGTCGGCCGACCTGATTACAGATTTCACAGACAAATCGCGAGTGAGTTGCAAACACATGTCGAGATTGCTTGCTCAAGGTGAATATTCTTGATACTTTAGAATCCAGTACTGACCTCCAAACCAATAAATATGATTAATGTTGCAAATGTTAGTTCGTCCAGTAGAGCTACGTAGTCTCAGCTTGATTGCATTCGAAAAAGGCTAACCTTGAAGGCTTTATGGCACCACAACTGCAGTATACGTATTACAGATGTAGAACAGTAAATATAATCTAGCTCAAACCCATCGACAATATACGGAAGGCACGTCGACTGCGTAGTTGTTAATGTTCTTTCACAATAGTGAACGGTTTACGCGAAAGGATAATTATCATAATGACGCCTGAAGAGGATATCAACCTATCATTCATAGCTTTAGCTACCGAATTTCAACGGAATATACTCCATATAGCAAATGGTCGTTTTGGCGTAATGGGAAAC